TCCCAACTAGAAATTCCAATTTCTTCACTAATAAAAATTCAAGTTCACAAACACCACTTGAATAAACTTTATAAAAAACTGAATATGTACAATTTAAAATATTTTCAAAAATTTCTCATTTATGTTAGCAAAGAAATAAATTTTTAAAGGTTTACTAAAATTTTACTGTTAATTTTAGCCTAGGTTTTCTATAACCAAAATATCTGCCAATAAAAAGAAAAGAAACAGAAAATAAATTTTAAACACTGTTTTTTATTTTTTTTTTTTTTTTTTTTTAGTGGAGTCAAATCAAAATAATGTTGGTACATTTTTTGAAGAAACACGAGAGAGGGAGCAAAAACCTTAAAATATCAAAATTGCCTATTTTACTATCATTCTGTGAACAAGATATACAAGGACTCTTTGAAAGAGCAGTAGAATTGTTTTTTAAAAATAGGGGGAAAAAGATAGATGAGGGAGAGAGAGAAAGTAAGACAATGAATGATAAAGGCTGCACATGCAACAGTAATTGGAACATGCATATCTTTATAAAACAAAAGTGACTGGGCAGACAATTCTCATGCTCAACTGAAATAAACTGACAATTATTATTTTTTCTTTTTTTTTAGTGGATACTCATATTTGAAATAGCCCATTTTTATTTTAAACAATCTGTATTACATCTATCAGCCTGCACACTTGAGAAATTTTAAAGAAAATGTGCTCTCTGGCAGGGTTTGAACCTATGTCTCTCCTTTGTAGGGAGAAACTACCACGATTTAAACTGATCGACAGGAAGTAGAGACATTGATGTAAATAAGAATTGCTTGAACTCAATCTGAAGATTGCATTCAAGCATGCCACCACTCATTGTTGACATCAGTGTTCATACTTCTAATATTTGTGCGCACACACACACACACAGCCAGACATTGAGCATTTTCACCTTATAAATATAGCATACCTTAAAACTACATATATAAAAAAGCAAGAAAATGTTTTAAAACAAAATTAAATCTTATGCAGTTTTATACATTAATTATATTGGAAGGCATAAAAAGGCTTAATCATAAAGGGGAAAAAATTAATTTATATATGAATGGCTTTTTAAAATAGAAAATTTTATTCTCCATATATATGCACACACACACACACACACACGGTGTGATGGGTAAATTATCGCCATTTTATATTTTTAATTTCATACATGTGCATTGTTTGTTTTTGACTATGTAGGAAGATCCAACACAAATATTTTAGAGTGTTTGGGTGTCAATCGGAGGACAGTTCAGAGGATTCAGAAAGAGTGGGAAGAGTCTAATGGCAATCATAAAGGTACTGCAGCTCTGAAAACTCACTCAGATCATTCTGGTAAAAAAAAAAAAAAAAAAAAAAAAAACTCCCAAATTTGTTGGTGAGAACCAGGCCATGATTGACAGTGATCCCTTCAAGTCAAACAGGTCCATAGCCAGGGACACAGGAGTGTCTGAGTTTCTTATCAGGCAGGTAGTGCATGAAGACATTTGGTATTTCTCATACAGGATGAGAAAGGGCCAGCATTTATCCCAAGTCATGAAGGACAAGAGGAAAGACAGCACTATAGAGCTTTTGAACTCAAGCATTCCCGCCAACCAAATATGCTTTTTCTCAAACAAGAAAAATTTCTGCCAGAATAAGATTGTGACCACACAGAACAAACATTGGCTTGCTGTGTCCCCAAAACATGTACTGAGAGTGATGAAAACCAAATATCCAGTCAAAATCATGTTGCTTGGAGGGATACCTCCATTCATTTTTACACAGGGTTTCAAACTCAACACAGAGGTCTACATCAAGTGCCTTGAGGAGGCAGTGTTGCCCAGAGTCAAGAGGGTGGCAGCTGGAAGATCCTATATCTAGTAACAGGACTCTGCACCATGCCACACAAGCAGGAGAACCCAGTCATGGCTGTCAGACAATTTCTGCAATCACATCACCCCTTAGATCTGGCCACCTAATTCCCCAGACTGTAACTCCCTTGGTTATTATGTGTGGGACATAGTTGAGTGAGAGACCAACAAAACTCCTTGTAACACCAAAGATGAACTGAAGACAAACCTTATGGCAGCATTCACCAACTTAATCAAGGAGACCATCCAGAAGAGTTCAAGATTTTGAAGTTGTTGGAGGTCGTGGTTAAAGCGAATGGTGATTTTATTGAATAAATTTACTCTTTGGTATTTCAAGATATTTTTGTGTAATTTTGGTAAATATCTGTTAAAATGAGATATCAGTGTAATTTTTGCTTTAGCATAATTTAGATGACAATTTATCTATCGCACCATGTATATATTTCAGAGATGAGGTATTGCAACTATTTACATCACTCGGACACTGTACACTCCAGCCTTCTTCAGGTGATATATAGTAGAATTTACTAATCTACCACCATGGACTAAATAAAGGGTTCAAATCAAAATTCCTACATATATCACCTTTAGAAGGCTGGAGCATACAATGACCAAAACATTGTGAATATGGCAATAAAGATGAGGACAATAGCCAAAAGAGTGTGTGTGTGTGTGTGTGTGTGTGTGTGTGTGAAAACAAACATTAAATACCCCTTAGCTTCAGCACCTGAATAGGTACACTTCTAGTCTCAAATACCAATATGTTAATGCAGTGAGACCAATCCTCATATGTGTCCCTCTACATTGACATTTTGCCAGACTTATTTTACCTGAAGAAGTACCCCTTGGCTGTGTGAAGTAATTTTATTAATAATATCAGTCAATTACAATAAAAAAAATGATCTGTTGTATTTGTATAATTTAAAATAAGAAAAGGTTGTTTATTTAAAGGCTTATTGAAACTATCTATTTTATAATATAAATAAAATACATTGACTTGATATACATCCTTATCAAGATAAGGTTTCATTTTTATGGTAACCTGTGTTAACATGATGGAATATCACATTAGTAAATAAGGGGAAATCCACTAATAAATTGAATTTTTTTTTAGGTTTCTTTGGACAATTTTACTTTTAATTTCAATAAAGAATTTTTTTTTTTTTTTTTTTTTTTAGACAGAAGAAAAAAATGTGATATGTTTATTTATTTCTGTTTCTAAATGATTTCAAAATCTGTTCAAATATTGCTTACTCTAAAGACCTGACATCAGATCTACAGAAATAAGAAAGAAATTCAAAAGAAACTGGCAGATTGAATAGGAAAGAAAGAAATATATTATTCCGTATTTTCAACCCAGAAGCAAATTTTAATAGCAAAATTCAAAATATGCATTAATTCATCTGACATTCCAAGCAATTGACATTAAAAAAAAAAAAAAAAAAAAAAAATATTAAAATTAGCACAAGCTACAAAAAAACTTGCAAACATGAATCAGGGATGGGGATGCAAGAATCAATTTTTAAAACAATCCATAAAGTTATCAAAGTCAAGTAAAATCATATTTACATCCGTTTTGATATTTTAAGTTTATTTTTTATTTATTTATTTTTTTTTTTTTTACTTCCATAAATTTATTACTTTAATATATTTGGTGCCATGCTTGATTTTTTTACCAACAGGCATCACATGAATTTATAATTAGAATGAAATAAATTAGGCTTTTAATAAAAATTTATAGATTAATCCATTTTTAGAAAAGGTTTTTAAATACAATAAAATTTAAAAATTAAATATTCTGCAATTCCAAAATGATTTGACATTCTATAACCAATCATTAATGAAAGACAAATTGGAAGCATTTTTATGATAAAGAAACTAAATTTTTCCCAATTTACAATCTTAATTGTGGCAGAATAACATTTACATTGATGACATAAAATCCAATGTATATATTTTTGGCAAACATGGACCTTTGTGCCCACAAAAAAAACAGAATGTCAAAAAACAGTTGTTCCCCACGACATTGCTCTTATTTAAACTACTTTCACTACTCAGCAATGTTTATTTTTTTTTAAAAAAAAAAAGCAGTGATTAAAACTGTAATAAAATCTAAAAAATATGAAAGTGATATACATTTTCTTTGTTCTTGAGAATTTAAAACAAAGATAATATACACTATTTATTATTGTTTATTTACAATATTTTATTGGAATGGTTGGCAAACTTTGGCTAATTCCTACCTGATTCAAACTTTATAAAATGGTAAATAAGAATTTCCTTATGGTGGGTTCATATATTTTAATAATTTAATAAATGTTTATAAATTTATGAATAAAAAAAAATCGTTTTCCTATTTATTTCTTTTATGAATTGGTAAATTATAAATATTGAATTGCATTAGTTTTAATATAATTGTATTAGTTTTTAGAATGTTGTAAATATAAAATTATTCTTGTAAATAAACAATCTAACAAATAATGTTTAATATTTTTGTTATAAATTCTCAAAAACAATTCTATAAATTCACTTTCATCATATGTTTAAGTTTTATTACAATTCCAATTATTGTTTTTTAAAATAACACACATTGCCAAAGAGTGAAGGTAGTTAAAATATTAACAGTGTCGAAAGGAAAACTGCTTGTTGACAATCAGTTTCTCAGTGGGTACAAAAGTACATGTTTTCTGTATTTTTTTTATTTTTTATTTTTTTTTTATTAGTCTCAAATAAAATGCAATAGAAATTTACAAATATCAATTAATCAACTATTTTTACAGAAATATTTACTATTTTAAACCTAGGATTATTAAAAGGTTAAATAAATGGTACCAGCAACTTTGAATTACAATTTCTAATTTAAAAAAAAAAAAAAAAAGCAATTATTTTTTTATACATATAGCGAGAAGATAAGAAAGAAATGTACAAAATGGCAATGAGTAACAATAGTAATGCTATTAGTATGGTGGCAGTGACAGAGTGATTAAAAAAGAGACGCAAAATCTTTACCCCTCTCTATTTAAGGTGTATTACTTAAACAATGTATAAACCTAGCCACCGGCTACGGTAGCAAATGATTAAGTGCTGATCTATATAATTTATTGAGGGTGGGAGGAAAGTGCTGGTACCTACATCTTCCTCCATTATATCTGAAAGACTACGGTGATGGGCCTCGCTCTGCCCTGACCCCTGACCCTCATCGACTGGTTCCTGCATGAATACTGGCTTTTGTTCTGCATGCTGCATCAAGCAAAATATATACCAAAGTTGTCATCAGTGCTACACAAACATACAAACAAACAAAGAAAGAAAGAAAAAAAAAAGGAATTAACATCAAAGAGTTGCTGACATCAAATAAACAACAAGCTGGATGGTGTTAATAGGAAAACAATTCAAATGTTGACCAACAAACTTCACAAAGTATTAGTTAATGAAAAAATAAACAAAAAAATACAAATTACAATAGAAACTAAAAATCCTATCAGTAACGTGTTTTAAAAAGAAAATAATTCATTAATAAAGATAGGTTATTTATAAAATTTGAATTCAATAAGTATCTAAAATGTAGATTTAGTACTTAAATGAATTTTAACACTACTTAATTTCAAAAAATTAAGACATATATATATATATATATATATATATATATATATATATATATATATATATATATATATATATATATATATATATATATATACACACACACACACACACACTTCAAATTTTATTTTTAACAGATAACTGTTTGAAATAAAAAAAAAAAATTTAAAGAAAATATGCTCATCGGCAGGATTTTCCTTTGCAGGAGAAATTAATGATTGATCTGGCATGTTTAGATTGCCTGCCACAGAGAGTGCCACCATTGTAGCAAAATTTATTTATCCTTTTTAAGGAAAGGGCACCTTCTCATTCAGTTATTCTCAGAAGCCCATCTCTGCTCAGTTTTGCATCTGGAACATAAACAACTGCCTAGACCAATAGATGTAATATAAACTGCTTAAACAGGGTGTCTATTTCAAACACAGGTATCCAATAAAAATAACATTTGAATAAAAAAAAAAAAAAAATACCAGATTTAAAATAAATCTATTAATTCTTTAGTGTGTGCATATGTGCATTTCATTGAATGTAACAGATAAGAAAAATTGTCTAAGATTTTTTTTTATTCAGTGTTTTAATATTCTTAACCTTTTCCTGTATTTATATTATAAGTTGTATTGTGCAGAAGAAGTAATTCTAAGCCATGCTGGATGAGAGTAGTTGTTGATAATACTGCCATTCTAAGAACATCTAAAGCCACACAAGCAGGAGAACCCAGTCACGGCTGTCAGACAATTTTTACAACCACTTAACTCCCAGACTGCAACCACCTTGATTATTATGTGGGGGGTGCAAGTGAGCAAGAGACCAACAAAACTCCTCGTAACACCAAAGATGAACTGAAGGCAAAGACTATGGCAGCATTCACCAACTTAATCAAGGAAACCATCCAGAAGAGTTGCAGGAGCTTCGAAAGTTGTCTGGAGGCTGTGGTTGGAGCCAATGACAATTTTATTGAAAAATTTACTCTTTTGTGTTTCAAGATATTTTTGTGTAATTTTGGTAAATATATCTGTTAAAATTTCTAAAAATGGATTGCTCCACTCTTAACAGTAGGTTATTAATATTTAAATTTTATAATAGCCAGTTTCCAGTCTGTACTTAAAGATTGCTCTGTGCATGAAACTCAGAGTTGTACCAAATAGTGAGAAAAAACAAAAAGTTTATCTATTATTAATAGTAAAAGTTTTAGCTCTTATTTTACATCAAGCACTTTTATTACCAACAGGTATGTATATATATCCATGTGGCACATGGTTTTATTATTATAAATATTTCATTTATTGGGTATACATGTGAGTAGACATCCTTGTGTCTATTTAAACATGTGTACCCACTAAGCATAATGTTTACAGTAATAATGTTAGATTTAAAAACTCCGTTAATTGCTTAAATATATATTACATACATAGATAGATACACATGTTACTTACAGACTTTATTACTCATATTTGCAAGAAATATTTCAACATATACCCTGAGAATCACAAGTAGGGCACTTGAATTAATGTTTTAATAGTGTATGATTATAAAAATCTATGAAAGATTTTTCATAATATATTGATGGTTTTTATTTAGTGGCATATCAAGCCCCATGGATTATTTAATGCTGAAATCTAAATATTTTGTAAGCAAATTTTTATTTTTTGGAGATAATAATGGCTCTGTGATGCAAGTCTTGCTAATTAAACTATAGCTGGGGGGAGAAGTGGTGGGTTCACACTTTTACCAAGGGTATTTTCACATAAGTGAATATAATGAACCCAACTGGAATTGGAACTCTGCTCGTTAATTAACAATTCCGAGCCATTATCCATTACCCCACCTGCACATCCAAGCATATAGCACCTGGTATTTCCATCTAGCTACTGACCAGGCTTGACATTGCTTAATAATCTTTGATGATGGTCTTGACTACCATCAATGATTACAAAATATCTTTTATACATGCCTTCTATATAAGTTGCATTGCTGTATTCATCATGTAATATTATAGTAACATTTAAAAAAATTCAATAAACATGAACATTAATGTGTTAACTAACTTATAATTCTATATTACTTATACTTAAAGTCTAAAAAGAGAGAAAATAAATTATTTGAATTGTCCATATCAAGTAACAACTCTTTTAAAGCAGATTTTAAAAAAGAAAAATATTGAAATATGCAAAGTAGAAAATACTTTTATATTCTACTATATTAAGAATAGGATAATTTTGAATATCTGTCTGGACAGGTCACTTTCAATACACTTATGTTATATTTTATTAGTAACAGTTTTTTTTATTATGTTAGACATTATTTTTAGTGGATACCCATAATTGAGTAGACACTGCATTTATTTTAAATGGTATTTTGTCTACTGGCCTGAACATTTGAGAAAACATTAAAGAAAAATGTACCCTCCAACAGGATTTAAACCTGCAACTCTCTTTGCAAGAGAAACCATCATTAGATCTGAGGTGCTTTAACCACTCGGCTACAAAGAGCATTGGGAGCAAGCAAGATTCTATTTGCCTTTAAAGCACATATTACTCATTCAGATTTTCTCAAAAGTAATAACAGCTCAGTTTTGTATCTGAAATGTAAACAAAGTAATTACTAAAGAATAAAAATTATGTCAGATTAAAGAATAAAACCCATTGATTCTTTAGAAGTTGATAAGTAACAGTATATAAAAATAAATAATTCACTTATTTTCAAATGAAAAGATATTTTAATCTCAAGAGTATAATTATCCAAATCATTTAAAATTTCTCACTGGCTACAATAATCTGTTATAAGAGAATATCCCACAAATTTTTGTCAGCTTAAATTGAAAGAAAGGTTTGAAAATGTTTGTATAACTTGAGATGACATTGATATAAGCCGTCAATCAAGGCAGCAGAACATTCTTTTAAGTTGTTCACTTTGAAGCCTTTTAGCATAAAAAGAAAAAGAAAACAAAACAGAATTCAAGCAAGCCTTTTACTGAAAACGTTCAATACTGCATATTAGAGCTTTTGAATAGACATACACAAAATTCATAGAACATTCTTAATACATTTACCGAAATATGGAAGTTTTTAAAAGTAATATTAAAAGGAGAAAAAAAAAAAAGAAGAAAAAAAATGAGTAGTCTTGATTAATTGATTGATTGATTTTTTTTCTTTCTGTTTATGATGCGCACCCTGTACAAGGCCTGGGAGTCACTCGAAGCAGAGGGTTACAGTGTAAGAAGTACAGTTTATGCAGATATGTGGGAAAGATAACAGTTAATCCTAGACTTGAACTAGTTAAGACTGTAGCAATCAGGGAAGCATCCTCTTGAGTGTCAGTTCCACAAAACTGACTCCCAAGAGTTAAAATTAAAATAAAAACATTTTTGAATTGTAAGAATAATTTTTTGGGGGGAGGGGATATTGTATTAATTTTCTTTTACATAATACTGATTTTTAGGTACAAGTCTTACTATTTAACCCAAAGCTGGAGGGGAGAAGAGTTGAATTCAAATTTTTCCCAAGGGTATTTGCACATAAGTGAATGTAATAAACCTGACTGGAATTGGAACTCGGCTCTCTAATTTTTCATTCTGAGCACTTATCCATTACACCACCTGCATATCCAAGCTTGCAGCACCTGGTATTCACAAGCAGTCACCCATCTAGGTACTGACCAGTTGCTTAACTTTGGTGATTAGATGAGAATCGTGTTTCAACATGCTATAGCCATAAGCCCTTAATAGGATAAAGAGTTTTATCATATATCAATTTGTATCAACTTCACAATCTAATTCATGATCCTCTATTCATTTGTAATAATATAATTTATAATAACCTTTTCTAATAATGCAAATCAATAAAACTATCAAAATACATAGAATTAGTAGAACATAACACATTTGAAGGTGAACTGAATTTTTATGAAGAAAACAGAACTAGAGTGACAATAGTTAGTTGAAATGGACCTTATTTATTGGTTCAACATTTTTGATACAGCAATATGAAATGCAATATTTTATTACTGACTACCACTAAATTTTGCCAAAAAAAAAAAAAAAAATTCTGGAATAAGTCTTGGCATGAATAGATTGTATGATTATGTAATCATACAGATGACATCAAGTCTACAACGCTGAAGAATTCTTATTCATTTCTTGTTATATTATACTCTGCTCAACAACACAAAGGTGCTAATATTCTCTTTTCTCAATTATTTTAAATAGATGTGTAGTAAAATAAGGAAAAAAGAAAACAATTGTGAAATTTGGAATATAAATTCGGCAAGCAGATTTTTTTCTTGATGGAACAGTCATCAAATATGATGACTGACAAAATTCTTGAAAACAATCATGTATAAATATATCAAACTCATCAATATTTTGCAATATAATTGCAAAAATGATAAATTATAAAATCTCAGATCTATGTCTATAAGTTATTAAAAAAAAAAAAAAAAAAAATTATAGGCTTTTAAAAGATCCACTAGCAATTATAGCTTTCTACCTATAACACATTAAATGACTGCTGCTAAAAATAAAAATAATGGGACAGTGATCATTAATAGGCTAAAGGAATGGGGGGGGGGAGATTTCAGTAAATTACAATTAAGAATATCTTATGAATTATTTAATCTGTGTACAAAATTATAGGCATCTTAAATATTATAAAGCAAAAATAATTTGCTTTCATAAAAAAAAAAAAAATTTTTAAAAAGTCAAATATAGAAATTCTTCAATTTTATTTGATAATTTTAAAAACTTCACTGCAACAAATTTCAATGAATTTCTCCAGAAGAAAAAAAATGTATTTAAAATGTCAAAAGGAATAAATTTGTGGGAAAAAAAATTGTTTTGAATCAAGTAAAATAGACAAATTATTTGCAAATATTTTAAGGAGTCAAAACAATTTTAATAAATCAATAAATTTATGATTAAGTACTTCAAAGCCAAGTTAACCATGATATGTAATTTTTATATCCAAATAGTAAAAAAAAGAAAAATTACTTAACCATATTACATGTGCATAGACCTCAATACTTGCTTATTTCAGGTTTTTGAATTTCAAATTAAAAAAATGTTCTACCCCCATTTCAATTACCTGAAAAATATTCATTTAAACTAACTACAAATTAAATTGTATCTCTTACTAATTTTTCTAAATTTAAATTAAAATAAAATTTTCTATTAAATTTAGATTAAAATATTATTTAAATTCAATTTTTTTAACTTTAGGTTATCCTGATAAAAACAAATGATCCACAAGTTAGTCTTAAATAAAAAAAATAAAAATGATGTTATGCACAACAATCTCAAGAAGAAAAACTGAAATTAACAAAATCAAAAAGGAAATTTTGTGATTATTCAATTATAATTTAACTAAATATAATAGAAACTTGTTTATTATTTAATTAAACTTACACCTGTAATAACAACAGGCAAAAGAAGGATTATGTTCATACATATATATATATATAATAGTAAATCATTATCAATTTGATTATCTATAAGCAATTTGCGGCATCTTCTTGTTACTTTAGAAACACGATATGCTATGATTAAGCATTTTCAGCTACATTAGCAAAATATTTGTATATTATTTAGATTTTATTTATAATATACTTGTATATTGTTTCTTTATATTTGTATTTATATATGGCAATAGCAAATTCTTACAGAAGAGAAGAAATGCAGAATTTTGAGAAAAAGTTACAGTAAATTGAATTAAACCGAAATTCACTAGCCTGATGACATGCTTTTAACTCTAAACTAAAGAAATATAATAAATAAACATAAGATTGTAAAAATTAAATACAAATTGTAAAAATTAAATATAGATTAAGGAGTATATAAATTTTTATAACAATATTTTTTTTATTAATGCTAGAAATGTCAACTTGGGCCAGTATAGGTATTAAACTATTTTTTTTTTTAAACTTAAAAGACTAAGGTATTTTCTTGACATGTCTCTTTTGTAGTTGAGCAAACCATTAACAATTAACAAAAATTCAAAGAAAAAATTAAAAATGACTGTTAGGAAAAGAAAATACAGAACCATGTTCATTAATACAATACACATGCAAAGAAAAAAAAATTAGGAGAAACATGCATAACATTGATTTGATTATGAGAATTATAAAACATGCAGAAATATTTGAAAAACATTGTCAGCAAAATAAAATTTGAGGAAGAAATTGGGGGGAGGGGGAAAAAATGAAGTTTTTCAATAAAATTGCATAATTTTTTTTTTTTTTTTTTTTACACTTCAATAAAATATGTTAGTCATATTGACATTTTTAATATGACAGAAAATATTGGAATTGATTTCAATAATTTTTTTTTTTTAAATAAAAAAAAAATTGTTCAATTTATTCAGTTTTGATTTATTCCATATTTTTATTTTTTTTTATTTTTACATGAAACTAAAATCTAATTTGACAAAACATTATGATAAACCATTTAATCATTAGCTTATAAGATGAAAACTTCAATTTATAGCAGTACATATCTTAGAAGAGGCTTCATGATTTATAACTAATCAAAATACAGGCTCAAAGTAATCGATTCTTATCAGATCAATGAACTTTATCAGTATTTAGATAGTGTAAACAATCTGTGACCTAACTAAAGAAAAAAAAAAGCTTAGTCAATAAATACAGGATGTGCCAGAAATAACTTCCATATGTTAAGACATTAGTGGTAAACAGTGTCTTCATCTAGCTAATGTCTTACCATTATGTGGATAAGATCTAGTCTTTTCCTGCACTTTTCACTTATGGAACTCTCTTTATGCTTTCCTTCTCTTCTATAGTGTTGCATAGCCCCTCATGCTGGGAGGTCTCAGTCAACGGTGCCAATTTGATAAAATGTTACATTTTCTCTGGGCTGGTGATCGCTAGATGTTACTGGGTAGCAATGAATGATATCAAACATGGAGAATTTTAACTTATCTAGTTTTATTATTCATGTCAACGTGTACATTTTCTAACTATCCAGTGGGGGCACTCACAGCATCACCACCAACCCACCCAACTACTGAGGAGCCATTCCAGACACAAAAGCGAATATGTCTTTATTGCGTGATGGTTAAGACTCGACTCCATGGAAAACTTTCTCTATCTATCATTCCCATGCTAGCTCAACCAGTCAAAATCAACTCACTTATGACTTTCATCTGACCTCGAAGATCAACCTATGGAAGTCAGAGCCAAAATGCACTTCTATTAAAATCTAATAGTCTGCTAAACTCCTATTTAATAGTCCTCTCAAATTCTTTCTCAGTAACCCCTTCTGTCTCAATAGTTTTTATCACCTTTGCTTGAAGTGAAATGATTAAAAATAAATAAATTAAAAATACTTATATATTTTCAAACATCATAAGTCATTGCACAATTTATTATGACAAGCTTTAAACCCAACTACAAAGCTCTTGATAAATAAATACATAGGGGAAAAAAATCTGATATTCCATCTGATTTTGGAAAGTGGCTAAAGCCAAGAACTTTTATTAATTGCCCAAGCAAAGTAAATAATCGTCCTCTCCAGCAGTAGAGAAAAATAAACAAACTCATTCGAATATCTTAAGAGAACATGTGGGCTGCATAACAATTATCAGTACAAAAAGTCAATTTGTTAAATTTTGTTCTAGTCTGTTATATTCACATAAATCCCCTAGGAGGAAAAACTTAAAACCATTTCTTCTTCTCTCAGCTATGAATTAAATAAAAGGATAGACTGAGCCTTGGTTGCAGCCAGCTTAGGAGAAAAAACAACTGAATTCAAAACTGGAGAAGGTAATGAAAAACAAACTTCGCTATCTTTCCCCCCCCCACCAAAAAAAAGAGTATTTACAGATAATTAAAATAAATAAAAATAAAGGGACCTTGTGGAAAGCCATGATGGCCTACATCCTGAAATATTTATTAATTTTTTATTATTTATTAAAATATCTATTTTTCTTAATGTCTTGACAAGGCATTAAGAAAAATAAATATTTTAATGAAGGACTTAAGTTCATATTCTAGAACTTCCATTTTTTTTTTTCATTAGGAGTACAATTTTTTTTTTTTAAATTAAAAAAAAAAAAAAAAAAAATGTAAGAAATTTGAATCTTTAAGAATATATTTTATTGAAATGTAAGTGTCAACTGAGAAAATTAAGAAATACCAAATGTAAAACAGTTTAATTCTGAAACATTCTTTTACAATTTTGAAAATTAAACTATACTGTTATAAACACCAACATTATTTTTCAAAAACAAAAAATAAAACCCCTGATCGAAAAATTTGTCATAAACATAAAAAATAAGCCTGAGTGAAATAGGTAGCAGTAGGTTGCTAATAATTACCAGATGGTTTGAGAAATTTCTCAGAAATAAGCCATCATTTGACAATATACAAAGGATACCTGCCTGAAACCAGTCCTTGTAAACAGCAATCACTCGCCTCATTGCTGCAGCATGATTTAGAGAAAAGAGCAAAGCCTGAAAAAGAGAAGGATTAAGAAAAAATTAAAAGGAGAGAGAATCTACTACATCAAAAACAACCTATAGACACTCCTCAGCAAAATGTTTGGGATTGATTACAATTAAAAATTAAATAATGACACTTTGAACAATTTGAGTTTCCTCACAAATAAAGATTTTATAAAAGGTTGAATTATGTTTAAAAATAAATAAATAATAAAAATACTACAGTCCAAGTCAGACAAGTGCATAAAAATTATTAAAGCTTAAAAATGGGATTCAAGATTTAATCCAAAAATTTTAAGAGGCATAAATCAAAGAACATTAAGCTAAAATATTTTTCTTCTATTTATTTTTAATATATAATCAGAGATTTTAATAAAAAAATACAAAATTTTTAGTGAGCAAAGGTTTAAAGCAATTTTTATATTGAAAAAATTTAAAAAATGTGTGCGTATATATAATTATTTATATATATTGCCAATACCCTCTGACGAATGGACAGAGTAATTCCTGGAAGATCCATCTACGAAACTCTGGAGACAGAATGCTGAATGTAACATTTAACAACTAAGTGCCAAACCTTTTACTTGTATTAATCTTTATATACACGCACACACACTAATAAATATACATTCCCCCCACCTCTTCAGTTGTTTGATACAACCGAGTTTTATACATGCAGTAATCTTCTGGTACATTCTAAATCAGTACCTGAACATTGCTGTGTGCATGAAACTCAGAGTTGTACCAAATGATGAGGAAAAAAAAAAAAAAAAAAAGTATATTTATTATTAATAGCATAAATTTTAGGGGTGTTCTTTTACATCAAGTACATTTATAACCACTAGCACTCATTGTGTCTTTAAAACCCAGTAATTTTAAAAGTTACTCAAAAATTCGCCTAAGGATTAAATGTAACTAATGTCTTTAATTTAATTACAAAATTAAATTCGTAGCTTTTAGCTTCCATTTTTGAAACATGGTTAGAACTGTGTAGCGAAAAAAACAAACATATTTTAAATAAATCAATTTATAATATTAATGCTCTGTAAATTTACATTGAGCACTATTTTGTAAAAATAAAAATATCTATAAGAACACTGGATTATATATCTTACTGTTCTTTCTTTTTATATATATATATATATATATATATATATATATATATATATCTGTCACTTAGCTGATCAATGTTATGTTCAGCACACCAACTCCAGAGAATCATAGGCAGACATTTTGTAATTATTCAGTCCACTCATCAGGAGGTTTCAGCAATTTACTGCCAATTTTCTCATTTTCATTATTTTTCTTATTTTGTATTTTATATATAAATAAACTTTGATTAATAACTTAAATTTTGGATTAAATCTAGAATCACAATTTCTAATTTATACCATTTATCATCAATCTAAAACTATACACCCAAAATATTTGCTCTTGAATTTAAAAAAAAAAAAAAAAAAAAAAAAATCAGTCTTGATATTTCAGATATAATTTTATACCTTTTAAAAAATTATTTGTCCACTGAAAAAAAAAAAAAATAATTATTTATAAAAGCTGAGATTACATTTAGCTTACATTATCTTTCTTGATCTCTCAGTTTTATTCTCCAAGTAAACAATTCTGACAGTAAAGATAATACTTACTTGTCTGAAGGTCTCGTGAACAACATTGACATTTTCCCGAGTTGAAAATAAAACAGATTTTACTATTTCATATTCTGAAAGACTGTGGTCTTCACTACATATACTGGAATTAGTTGAGGTTTCTGTACACTGAGAGCCTGTGGATAGTGTGCTGCCTGCACTTGGGGGTACCAACTGGTCACTGTCTCCCTTGGGTTCATTTACATCACATGATTCATCAGACTGATGGCTTTGATCAGTTAGGAGAGAACAAGACAAGCCCCTAAAATAGAAATGAACAAGAATTAGTCTTATATATATATATATATATATATATATATATACACACACACACACACACACACACACAAATAAATCACTTTAAACATTTTATACGGATATTTTATTTGAGTAGATGAACCATTTATTTATTAACTGACCTGAATATTTGAGAAATATTTTTAAAGAAAAATATGTGCTCTCTGGCAGGATTTGAACATGCATCTCCCTGGCCAGAGGGAACTGCCATTAGATCCAACATGCTCAAGACAGGCTGAGCTACAGACAATTTAGCTGACCAGTGCTTTTAAGTGAAATTCCTCTCATAATAGACTTCTCGAAATATTTCATATGTTTCTCAGGGGAGATGCAGCTTTGAATCCTACTGGAGGACACATATTTCTCTTTAATAAAACTTTTTGAATATTTAGGCCGAAAGATGAAAATCAATAAAAATACTGTTTAATCAATAAACAGACCATCTACTCAAATATAAGTATCCACTAAAAATAACTTTTAGAGTGATAAAATCTGTCAGAATAAGTAATAAATTCTATTAATTCTTTAGAAAATTATATATATATATATATATATATATATATATACACACACACACACAGGTGTATTAGTAGTATATGGAGTCCTAAAATGGAGAAATCAAACAATGGGAAAAATTTATTTGAGAACATGTCTCGACACATGTTAAGCAAAGCAAAATTGGTGGCTTAAAAAAAAAATAAATAAATAAATAAATAAAAATAAATAAATAAAAAAAAAAATTAATAAATAAAAAAATTAAAACATTAATACATGCCAGATTTCACAGCTCTAGCATCACTACTTCAGTCAGTTTATGAATTTTCCAGTCCACCCTCATATATATATATATATATATATATATATATATATGAAATTCACAGTTTTACTTTAAAAAGCCATATATTATCATTTAACGTTATTTTAATGGACTTAAGACATTGTATAGATGGTATGCAAAACTTTTGTTCAATATTTTTTTTTCTTATTACTCACTTTGACATTGTTGTCTCTTGTCGTTTGGTAGAACTGACAAATGTTGACAACCAACGAACAAAAGAATCTTGACATTCAGAGATGCTTGTTGGTACGTCTTGTGCCTTGAGGTCTTGCATTTTCCTGGTCTTTGGTAATTCTTGAAAATAGTATTAAAATAAAAAAATATATTAGAATCAACTAAACAAAACAAATAAATCACTAAAAGGAAAAAAAAAATTTAACATTCAACAAAAAAAAAAAAAAAAAAATAATTTCACATGAAATCAATAAAAGGTACGCTATAAATAAGAAATAAAGATGAGACTAGCGAAAGGCTTACAGCATTTCAACAAGCTTAATTCAACTTGAAGTATGGATTTTTGCCATGATCATTCAAGAATTATGTCTTTACATAGTGACTGATAATTTGGGCAAACAGACTAGACTTTTCCGGTATTTCCCTGACAAAATTTTACAACATTCCTGACATTTTTATTTTAATATATTAATCACTTCAAATCTTCACAATATTTCTTGACTTTGAGGACATTGTTTTATGCCTGCTTTCTAGGAACTGACAAGTTTTCAATTCATGTAAAAATCAGACTAAAAGACAGACACAGATAGAGGACACACAATATGAGATTTAAAAAAAAAAAAAAAAAAAAAATATTTCAGTCTCATCAACAGCAAGAAATTCCATGACTTTTAGGAACTTTCCTGATTTTTCCTTGATTTCCAGTTTTCTCTGACCATTGGTCACCTTGTCTTAAGCAAAGTTTCTTTCAAACGAGACAACGGAAACAAAGTGTGAAGTAATTTTTTTGTCATGTAATTCTCAAAATCTTTCAGTAATACCTTATATTTTTAATATAAATTTCTGAAAAATGATACATCAGATTGGCCAAAAAGTTTGTCTTTTTTCTTTTACTAATGTTCACCCAATACAAGGCCCGAGAGTAACTCAAGGTAGAGGTTACTGTGTGATGTTGTATAAGCATAAGAAAGGGTAACCAATGAAGCTTATGGATTATGTGGGAAAGATAACGGTTAACCTTAGGTCAAGATTGAAAACATTCTGCCACTGTTCCACAAAGCTGCATTTATTAGGAAGAAGCTGTCCAAATGGAACTTTCTTCTTACTATTGGGATATGAAAGGAATGGAGATGTTTCAGCCTCATATAAGTGGTATGGCAGATCAAGATTGTAAAGGTCATGGCTGGTGGGACTAAGGAATGTAGCTTATCAGAACATATGCCATGGACATAATGATAGAGCAGTGAGAGGCTCACAAAGTTTCATCTGAGTGAAAAGGGGTTGTAGGGTGGAAAATAATCCATCACCCACAAGGCCGTATAGATGCTTTTGAACTCAAGACAGGCAAGTGAGAATGAGGCAGAGCCAGCCCAGGTATGGCAACAAAGCTCCATTTTTTGGTTTCATCTGGCTCTTGTAAAGAGAGTATAACTGAAAGAATTAGATACTTAGAACAGTACAATTGTCATTAGAAAGAATTAAGTACAATTTATTTTTGACTAATTTCATTACAAAAAAAAAAAAAAAAATATTACATTTCAGTGTATGAAGGCAAACCAACTTTTTCGGTAACCTAAATAGAAAATTTCATAATTTTCCTGTTTCTTAATACTTTGCTTAGCTTTTGAAAGCATCTTTCACAATACCAGATGCACCTTCAGATTTCAGTGTCACATTTTGTCTTCCGTTAAAACAACTTCCGAGATATTTAAACTTTTGTACTTGCTCGATTTTGGTGACTCCAATAAACTGCTGAACATCATGTTCAGTAGTTTATCCACACAGAATTTGAAATGTTAAAGACTCTTCGCAAAGTTAAACAGCCATTATCTTTACAACCTTATCAAAATGTATACAAAAGAATTTCATAAAAATAAATGTCATGCACTTACCTAAGGGTGGATCATATATGCTTCGGGTCATATCAAAGTCAGGAAGTAACCATTTTAAGTATGAACATTTGAATTTATCAAATAAAAATACAAAACTTGTCTCTCTCATACTTTTATTTAACCATTCCACTTTGATAACCTGAAAAGAAATTTACAAAAACGGGTGAGACTGAGCAAGAGTGACAGTGTGTGTGTATGAGAGAGAGAAAGAGAAAAATAAGTAAAGTTCACTACAATATTGATCACAGAACATATTGAAGGGTAGTGGAAAACAGCAGTAACCTATTTTACGAGTTTCTATGGATATATTGTCGAGACGGGATAAATAAGAGATAAGAAAAAAATAAAAAATCAAACATGGTTTAGAGCTTTTAAAGGACAAAATATTGTGGAGAGTCATGATTACCCATGTTTGAATTGACACAATGCATAAAAGTTGATTTAATGCCATCTCAAAATGTGTAGGCATAAAGAAAAAAAAAAGCCATAATCAACCTTGATAAATATCCATGGTCTCTTACAGAAACAAACATACACTTCCTTTCATCTTAAACTTCAAATATCATTTTTCCTACCTCAGATACTAAACAAGCTAGAAGTGCATCCAAGAAAAATTTAGTTGTATTTTCCGGTGGTTTTTCTCCAACTGCAGGAAGAATGGGTGGAATTTCTCCCGGGCTGACAACTCCAAGATCATTATTATCTGCAAAGATTAAATTAACAAGATATATATAAAAAGGAAAAATTCACAACAGGTTTTGTTTTTTATCAACCAAAACAAAAATAAATATGATCTTTGACAAATTTGTTGATTATATAAAACAACTAATTTGGACATTTTAAAAAGTTAATAAAAACTTTGATAGACAGAATTTGTTGATATTATTCAACCAAACATATTGGGGAAAAAAAAAATGAAGAGAGATAATCTTGCTCATGCACAGAGTAATTGTAAAAACTTTTAAAATGGAGAAAATGAATAACTTTATTTCAAATTTTATTTAAAAGGAAAAGACATGCACACAAAAAAAATCTGCCAAAATTTTACTTACTGTCATGAAATCCCATTCGACTATAGGCATCTTCTAGACTGTTACTACTCAGGCCTGGTACCAAATGAAGGAAAATGCTATGACACTCTTCTGAAGCATTTTCCTGTAAGATTTGGTACCAAATAATGAAAAGCCTCATCCCTTCTCGCCTTAACTGGAAAATAACAAAAACAAAATTAGATTTTGTGTATGAAATCAAAAGATCTCATTAGCATGTTTTAAGCTTCTATTTCTTTGCTAGTTGATGCTTTATAATTAATTAGCTGAATCAAAGCAAATAAATTATTCATACATCAAGAACCACAACAAAAGACAATTTCATGCTGTTTATGACACTGTAGGGATGCAAAGGGTAATTACCTCCCTTTGGGTAAGAGGAATTTGAAAGAGCCAGTGAGTGATGACAGTTTCTTGGGGTGACGAACATAAACTGCTATTGAGCATGGCAGAGGCAAGACGTGTCAGCCCATGCCAAAGAAGTGAGACATGATGGTTCATGGCAATTAAGAGAAAAGAGGAAACCGCATGGTCCCACCAGATACATAGAGGACACTAAGAGTTTGCCCATTTTTCTGTCAGGAAATATAACAAGTAAAACCTTCTCACTTGTTGCCTCTTTCACACTGCTTGTTGTATTCATGCTATAATTTCTGTGTGGTAAAAATTAGTAATAGAGTAGTATATAAAATCTCTTTGAGAATAATGAATGTTTATCAATCCTTTCTTTCAGCTATTCTGTTCCATCCAGATATTAAGGTGTACATATAAAAAATGTGTGTGTGTGTATGTATACCTGGCCACTTGTATTCGAGGATACCTATCTACTAGGGCAACTGGCCAATCCCTATTGCAGACGCTTGCTCAGGTGCATTTGTGTTTATTTAACACCCACAGAGCCCAACTGTGGTTTACACTGTAACTATGCTGAGTAGACCTTAGTTACAGTTTATGGGAAAGAGCATGATCAACAATTTGAACAAGGCCAGCACACTCAAGCCCTCAGCCATGATGACTTGTGATGTCATGCTAGCACAGCTATCAATGGCATGCATGGGTTCCCACTACCCAATTTCACTCACAAGGCTTGGGTCAACTTGTGGCATAGTTTTCAGGCACTTTCCAAAAGGTGCACCCCCCTAGTCTGATAACATCGGGAAGGAGACTTCCTGACAAATCAACCATGGTGAGATATCAACCATGGTGAGATTTGAACCCTGATCTCATGGTCAGAATGCAAACATTCTAACCACTCAGCCACATGCCCAACCACAGATATAATAATGCCTATAATGGGGTAAATGAAAACTGAATAGTCTCTCTTTCCTATTGCCCCCATTAATAAGAAAGGAAAAATGTTGTAATGTTGTACCATGTGAAGAGACAGTTGGGAATTGTCACATAATAATCAGGTGCATGGACAGAAATGTGGAAATGGAAAGTGGAGAAGGATAACTTCCTAGAGCTTAAATATTTTTAAAAGACTAAGTATTTGATTTTTGCTCCAAATTTAAACAGCAAAAAGGAGAGGAGGTGAAAGAGCTATTCGTTTCAATGATCAATTTTATAGGACATTGTTGAGGAAGTCAAAAAACGCTATAATAAATGATATAACATCACTTGAGGTTGAACTTTTGAAAATAGTGTATAACCTCTATGAATTTAAAAACAAGTTTCTCAGTTTCATGAAGCCAGTCTGGAAGTGTATGCTAAAGCAGTGGGTTATATTGCTAACTAATGCACTATGAAAACAAAATGGTAGTCCTCAAGAGCCTCAAACATACAGAGGTATCTCAGTTGGATGCATTATTGTGAAAGTACTAATGAACTTTGTATTAATTAGGCTGTCAAACCGTTCTATGAAAGTCAACTTCTCACAACCCAATTTGCCTTTCAATTAGTTTAAGAAAAGTTAAATCTGGAAACAGAAATAAATTTTGTGTGATGACTCAACTCTAGAATTAAGATCCTATTTAGTAAATAGAAATCAAATTTGGCTGAACTCAAGATAAAAAAAAGAACAAGACCAAAACAAAAAAAAGAATTGAACCAAAAAGAAAAAAAATTGTACTAAAAAAAAAGAAAGATTCTAAAAAAAATTTGTTGTTAAAAAAAGGTAACTAAAAGAAAAAAAAAGAATGCAAAAGAGGAAAAAAAGAAAAGAAAAAAAAGGAAAAAGAGGAGAGGAAAAAGAAAGTAAAGTATTTCCCATTAGCAAAAAAGTAACCAACACCAAACATTTTGATAAGATTACTATATGCAATTGCCCCATAGGAATCTTACTTGGTTTATTTATGTTCAAATCTTCCTGATCCTATCATTAAGTATTTAAAGGTTCAAATTAATATTTTTAACCTAAAAAAAGGTTCAACCCTATAAACCACTCTTCCCTATTTTCTCATCTAATATCTAAAAAAAAAAAAAAGAAAAAAAATATCTCATGCACTAATATGATTGTTAGGGTCACTAGCAATAGTGGAAAATATCAAATTGGAAAGCAAAGTTCAAAAGTTGGGTTCATTACATTCACTTACACTAAATAAAAAATGGGTTGAAAAGGAGAGAAAAAAAAAAAAAGAAAAAAAAAAAGAAAATCTGCTGCCTAGTCAGTCATGAATCAAAAGAGACATGAAAAAATCACGTATGGCACTTAACTGACTAGAGCCACTACCCTATTACAAAAAAAGAA